GCCTTGCCGACTGGCGAGAGCGATCGTGCCTCTCCACAATCTGTGATCTTCGACAGAATGTATCAGTTCGTGTGCTGACACCCGTCCCTGCTATGACAAAAGGCTTCCGGTAACAATAGCCAACACTACAGCTCTTGAGAGGAGGGGCTGGCCGAACGTTTAGCATTCTGGACTCAAATGGGAGACTCAGATTCAAATCCTCGGTAAGGCTGTCGACGGCAAAATTAAATCCTTACATGCACAGTCGTGGCGATAGCAAAAGCCGTGCGGCCTTAAAGCCTCAGAATCAAAGGCCCCCGGCCCACACCGAAAAAGTGGTAAAATAAAGGCAGCTATTGGCAGTTTTGTGTGTGTGTGCGCGCGCGCGCAAGCAGTCTACAGCACTTGAACTTTAAGATGAATTACAGTTTTCCGTAACAATGACCAACACCAGAGCTCTTAAACTGTAAGAAGAAATACAAATTGTCCGCAGCAATACCACCACAGGTCTTTAACTGTGAAGAGAAACACAGCTTTCAGTTACAGTAATTAAGACCTCAGGTCTTGAATTTTAAGAATAAATACAACTTTCGGTAACAATAACCACCATCAGAGCTCTAGAACTGTAAGAACAAATACAAATTTCGGTAACTGCACGAAAAAACACAACTTTTGATAACTGTAAGAAAAAACACAACTTTCGATAACTGTAAGAAAAAAACACAACATTCGGTAATTATAAGAATAAACACAAGTCTCGGTAACTGTAAGAATAAATACAACTTTCGGTGACTGTAAGAAAAAAACACAACTCTCGGTAACTGTAAGAATAAACACAACTCTCAATAACTGTAAGAATAAATACAACTTTCGGTAACTGCAAGAAAATAAAACAGCTGTCGGTACCTGTAAGAATAAACACAACTTTCGGAAACTGTAAGAATAAACACAACTTTCGATAACTGTAAGAATACCGATAGCAATAACCAACATCACAGCTTTTGAACTGTAAGAATAAACACAACTTTTGGTAAAAATTACCAACATCACAGCTCTTGCACTGTAAGAATAAACACAACTATTGGTAACAATAACTAACATCACAGCTCTTGTACTGGAAGAATAAACACAACTATTGGTAACAACAACAAACATCACAACTCTTGTACTGGAAGAATAAACACAACTATTGGTAACAATAACCAACATCAGAGCTCTTGTACTGTAAGAATAAACACAACTATTGGTAACAACAACAAACATCACAACTCTTGTACTGGAAGAATAAACACAACTATTGGTAACAATAACCAACATCAGAGCTCTTGTACTGTAAGAATAAACACAACTATTGGTAACAATAACCAACATCACAGCTCTTGTACTGGAAGAATAAACACAACTATTGGTAACAACAACAAACATCACAACTCTTGTACAGGAAGAATAAACACAACTATTGGAAACAATAACCAACATCGCAGCTCTTGTACTGGAAGAATAAACACAACTATTGGAAACAATAACCAACATCACAACTCTTGTACTGGAAGAATAAACACAACTATGGGTAACAATAACCAACATCGTAGCTCTTGAACTGTAAAAGGAAACACACCTTTCGGTCACAATAACCAACACCCCAGCTCCTCGGCTGCCAGAAGAAATACAGCTTTCAGTAACAGTAACCAACACCAAAGCTCTTCAACTGCCAAGAGAAATACAACTTTCAGTAACAGTAACCAACACTACAGCTCTTCAACTGTCAAGAGAAATACAACTTTCAGTAACAGTAACCAACACCAAAGCTCTTCAACTGTCATGAAAAATACAACTTTCAGTAACAGTAACCAACTCTACAGCTCTTCAACTGCCAAGAGAAATACAACTTTCAGTAACAGTAACCAACTCTACAGCTCTTCAACTGTCATGAAAAATACAACTTTCAGTAACAGTAACCAACTCCTCAGCTCTTCAACTGTCATGAAAAATACAACTTTCAGTAACAGTAACCAACACTACAGCTCTTCAACTGTTAGAAACGATACAACTTTCAGTAACAGTAACCAACGTGTTTATTTAAAATTTATGTAAGCAATGCCCAAAATGGCCTTGGATAAATCACAAAAGAGGAAGACCAAAGTGTAAAAAAAAATATCGACCCGGTCCGGACATCAGGTCACGTCGCAGTCGCCTGGGCCACCAGTAAACATCTTGACGGATGAGTGAGGTTAATCGGGATTTACACATGCAGGACTGTTGATGACACCGATGCATTTCACCAAGTGAAACACGAAGAAATTTTTTGAATTTTAGGAATTTTCGAAAAAGTTTGTGTTTGAAAATGTGTAACCGGTCTTCTTTCCTCCCACCACGGCCAGGAGTTTTCGTTTGAAGTATTTAGTTAGCCGTTGAAATCACCGGAGAGCAACAACAACAAAATGGCAGCAAAGAGGTTTTAAACAAATTCAAGGTTTGAAGAAAATATATGACAAGCATCAGAAAGAGAAAGTCCTAATTTTTGTTAGTAATGTTATGAGAAGAAGGACACTGGAACAGGTTGTGACCACTGGAACATGTTGTGCCCACTGGAACATGTTGTGACCACTGGAACAGGTTGTGATCACTGGAACAGGTTGTGACCACTGGAACATGTTGTGACCACTGGAACATGTTGTGACCACTGGAACATGTTGTGACCACTGGAACATGTTGTGACCACTGGAACAGGTTGTGACCACTGGAACAGGTTGTGACCACTGGAACATGTTGTGACCACTGGAACAGGTTGTGACCACTGGAACAGGTTGTGACCACTGGAACAGGTTGTGACCACTGGAACATGTTGTGACCACTGGAACATGTTGTGACCACTGGAACATGTTGTGACCACTGGAACATGTTGTGACCACTAGAAATGGTGAAACTATGGGGGTGACTGCAGTCAAGAGGTATCAATATCCAACATACCTTCATCTAAATAGTTCTAATCTTATTACGACAAGAAGACACTCAAACCAATCCCTCTTCATTTTAATAGCCCTGACCACAGCGGTAAAGATGACATATCTGTCACAGCATTAAAATCTTGCTCTGGCGATCATACTACCCGCCTCGCTTTGGAAAATCGCCTTATCCACAGCCTTGGCGTTCTTAGTCCAAGAGGTATCAATATCCAACATACCTTCATCTAAATAGTTCTAATCTTATTACATTACCGATCCATACAGCACTTCCTCTTGGGACTACTCAGTGCTCACGCAGCACCTGCAAAACATGTCCTTTCGTTGTCCAGACTTCTTCGGTCAGTTTCCCTAATGGTTCTTTTCAAATTAGGGAACCTTTTACTTGCGAATCCCGCAACGTAATTTATGCAATTATCTGCAAACGATGCAGCATGGCATACATTGGGGAGACTGGCAGGAAGCTAGCTGATCGTTTCCGGGAACACCTCTCTGATATCGACAAGAAGACACTCAAACCAATCCCTCTTCATTTTAATAGCCCTGACCACAGCGGTAAAGATGACATATCTGTCACAGCATTAAAATCTTGCTCTGGCGATCATACTACCCGCCTCGCTTTGGAAAATCGCCTTATCCACAGCCTTGGCGTTCTTAGTCCAAGAGGTATCAATATCCAACATACCTTCATCTAAATAGTTCTAATCTTATTACATTTTAAATGTTAATTATTTTATTTTATTTCATATTATTACCATATTCTATTTCTTATCAATATCATTTATGTATCATTAACACTTGCATTTCTTTTATTCCCAGTATTGTGACTATATTTTTAAGCCATAGTTTATTTTATTTTATTTCATTTATTCCGCATCACATTTTTTAAACGTCGCTCACGTCACCCCTTAGAGATCTACATACTCTCCATTCCTCTTTTGTGTAGTCCACTTGTGTTTGAAAAAGGCTGCCTGGCCGAAACGTTACGTTGTGTTGTTTTGTGCACGTTTTCCTTTTTCCCATTTTGTTGAGCTTTTTAGTCAAATTTCTCTGGAATTCATTGTGACCACTAGAACATGTTGTGACCACTGGAACAGGTTGTGACCACTGGAACATGTTGTGACCACTGGAACAAGTTGTGACCACTGGAACATGTTGTGCCCACTGGAACATGTTGTGACCACTGGAACATGTTGTGACCACTGGAACATATTGTGACCACTGGAACATGTTGTGGCCACTGGAACATGTTGTGACCACTGGAACATGTTGTGACCACTGGAACATGTTGTGACCCCTGGAACATGTTGTGACCACTGGAACAAGTTGTGACCACTGGAAAAAGAAACTGTGGAAGGCAACCGAGGCGATTCTTAACAGTTTCTTGACATGGCAATGCAATCTGTGCTGTCATGTACTTGCTTGTAACAGGGAATCACTGGGTTTCCGGGTGTCAGGGAAAGGTATATTTTGACGAGTTAGTAACCTCGGATATATTCTGCCTCACCAAGTTCTTTCGACGCTAGAGCAACACAACAGCGAGACAATAGACGGTGGATGTGACGCTAGGAGGGACAAGGAAATGGGATGTTCTACTTACACGGAAAGATATCAGACCAGACAAGAAGAAGCAGTCAGTTTCACACGATCACAAATACACTGGAAATCAATGCTCGCCCCTTACCCCCTTTTTCCACTTTTTCCAAAAATATGAAACGCAATCTAAGTTAGTTGAAGCCTCACAAGGAAGGAAAAGGCAAAGAAAAGAAAACTTGTGTGTGTGTGTGGGGGGGGGGGGGGGGTGGTTTAAAGATAGGTAAAGGAAATGGAAAGAGGTATACTCTCAACGAAGGTTTTTGATAAACTAAAGAATTTTAGTCTGAGAATCTGACCGCATGACACCGAAAGGGGGTAGATAACTTCTAACAAAATTAGGGAATTACAGAAACCAAAAGAACACCTGTGCTGTGCCTTTGATTCGTAACAAGATTCACAGTGGGCATACAAAACAAAACAAAACTTGTCTGCTTCTCAACAGTGTCACAAGATATAAGTCGATTATTTTCTTCTCAGTCTCCTTAAACAAAGCAACGATTCATTTAAAGTATCTTCAATGGCTTCTTTCGTATCTTTTCTGTTCACTTCACCACTTTCGTTTGATTTCCCAGTTCCGTAACTTCCTCTGACGTATCTCTTGTCCACTGAAGCACAGCAAGGTTTCAATCGTCTGCAGTCAACACGGGTGGCTGAGCACACCCTTATGCCACGAGACTTATTTTTAGCACGCGCATCTACATTCGGTGACCCATTGTCGGAACCCATCCTGAATACCCTTGGTGGACCCTCATTTGCTACACTAACACCGTTGAGTAGAGAACCGAGAGAAGGGAATTCCGATCTCTTAAAACCAAGATCCTTGTTAGGAGCTTGACAATCATCGGTAATTTTTCGCCCCGTTCTTGGCGAACGCAAAGTGGCGCCATATCCGTCTGATCTGTCTACTTGACTGCGTTTCTGTATATGCTCGTCATATCCATCGCTGTCACTACTACTTCCTGTCGTATACATTGCTTTACCACTTCTTTGGCTTCCTTGTCCACCCCTCCTCTGAGCTCTCATGCTGCTAATAAACTTAGTACCACCAGCTTTGTTAAAACGGACAGTGTTTCCAGGCCTGCTTGCCTTGATCTCTTTGTGATTAAAATCATCCCATTCATGATATCTGGCTGTCTTGTCGCCCAACTCATCCCATTTCTCACACCGAGGTTTCTTAGTAGAATGCGTCTCTTCCCACAAGTGGTCATTTGGTAAGGACAGCCACGAATTTCGACGTCTGAGAAAGGCTGACCTGTTGAAGTGAGCGACCATTGATTTGTTGGCCCGATCAAAAAGGTCAAGCAGAAGTGAAACCAAGGACGCAACAATGGCGGCGATGACCACTCCATACCTAGAAATATGTTTGTAAAGTTGGATTGGTTAATTACGAGATAGATGCTGCAATTATCTGGTACTCACCTTAGGCAAGGTGGACCTGGAAACTAAGTAGTATAGGGGTGTTAGGGTGTCAAGTGAACACCGACTGACACTAATTCAACTCCCCTGCCCTAAATAATATTAAACTTTCCTAGATACTCACATGAAATCTCGGAGTCTTCGAGATGTGAGATTTTTATTCCCCCCCCCCCCCCCCCCCCCCAAATGGGGAGGGGGTTAAGATTCGATCAGAAACCCTCCCCCACCCCCCCACCCCCACCCCTTAAAAAAAGAACAATCTTTTAAGGCTTAGATGGCTAGAAACCTTCTTGGAGTATGTAATACAGTAAAGTCACGAAACATTCTTTTTGGAGAATTAAACATAGGGACAGTCTTCTTCTTATTCCTGTGTCCTTAAAAGAACTATTGGCACATAGTACTGTGCTTTTTTGAGAAAGTTGCGATATCTGCTTCTTTCTGTTCAACACATCCGATTCCAGCAAAACCTCTAATTAGGAGCCTTTTACGACAGGCTCGATGGGAGCCGTGGCTCTGTTTAGCCCTTCACGTTCACAGGAGGTATCGCGATGACACAGGAATCAAATTAAAGCATAAACAAATAAGTTCAATGAAATCAAAAACTCACAAGCCCAAAGATTTTCCATCAAAGAGAAGTGAAACCAATATTAACTCATTTTTTTTAAAAACTAATTCTGAGCGAACCATATTTGGTTCGTTAATAAAAACTGTGCTGGGATCATTTTTTCCGTTTCTTGTTGCTAGTGAAGAAGACCCGGATGTCATGATCTTTTACTCTATCTCACAATTACATCTGCCACCAGATGT